TTTTAATTAATTCCAAAAAAAGTTGAAAAGGTCAGAAACTGGGCCAGGGTCAATAACTGGGTCTTTTACCTTATAATAATAATAATTAATCATCATTAATAAGCTATTAATTATTATACCTTTTGCAACATACGGGTTGTTGGTCCATCTTCTGCTGATTCAGCATATTCACACCAAGGTAATTTTTCTCGAGTACAAAACCCAAAAGGCATTGCTACAACAAACAGTAATCATCAACACATTATTATTAAAACTTATGGGGCAATTCTGCCGTAACAGAGCTCATAAAATAGCATTGTCATAGCAACGCTATCTTATGCTTGTTCTTGGCAGTGAAAATTATGAATATATCTATTTATTTGCTGTGCAATCAGGCGTATTCTATATATAAGATGAGCAAGGAAGAAAGCGTTATGATAACAGAATTCTAGATTGCAGCTATTATAACTTTATGCATTGCTTTTTTGTATGTAAAATACGCCTGATCGCACAGCAAATAGATGGACATTTTCACAGTTTTCACAATCAATAAACAAGCATAAGCTAGCATTACCATGACAACACTATTTTATGAGCTCGGTTACGGCAGAACTGCCCCATTAATTATTATTAACTATCTTCTATCCATTACTTTCTTCATGCTTCCTGCAAGCACAGCACATTAACATTATTATCATGAGCAGCTTGTATAATATTCCTCGCCTTCATTTTGTATTTGTTGTATAAACTCTCTCTCATTTCTGCCACAGGAGTCCATGTGTTGAGCCCTTCGGGTAGTGCAAATTGCACTGCTGCAATTCTAACAACTCTCGAGGCTCTTGTGGATTCATGGTGAGCTAGAGGTACAAAAGTGTGGCCACGGATTTCAAAATTGTTGGTTGTTGCAAAATGATAAACTGTCGGGGTGGAGATCCAATGATGAACTAGATAGGAAATGATACATGGTATTAAATTTTTTGTAGAATTGGGGTTCATATGATATTGTGTATGATATATACTTAGATCTGAAGTATTAATATAACTAATATATAATGTGTTTTGATTTAATTATTGTAACATAAAACAGTATTTGATTTAACTATTACAATACAAAAATCATGAATACTGAAAACATACAGTAATAATAATTAAAATAAATGCAATGAGGAGCACCACGATTCAACGATTCCCTTTCCCTCCCTTGTTTATGATTCCCATTACCATTTTATTACCATTAATAAATGTTTTATTCATTCTTATGCATTTTCCTTTCCAAACTTCTGCTTCCATGCTTCCTCGTCCAATGTTTCGGCTTTCAAATCCCTGAATTTTCTCTTTTGGCATTAGTCATCAATCATCTGCATTTTTCTTAACAATCCTTGTAGTCTTTTTTACCTTCCACGACATCGTGTAGGTTGCACATCTTTTGCGAAATAGGTCCAATTCAGTTTCCTTTTCTTTTCAGGACCATGCTCAGTAGAGTTCTTTCTTCGCACACTCTTCTCAGGACTTCTCTATTTGTTACCTTTACCTTCTCTATTCGCCCCCAGCATCCCATTTTAAAACTTTCCAGATAGTTTTTGTCATTGACAATATTATTAATTATATTGTCTAGGGTTATTGTCGCCCTTTCTTACAGTCCATGTCTCTGATCCGTAAAGAGCTATGCTTCAGACATAATACTTTTTACAAACGTATAGGAAATATTTTATTTTAAAAAAACAAGCAACTATAAGCACTAATACGGTTTTATTATATTTCAAGCTTAATTAAACTGATTTCACAAATTATTTTTAATGATTTAAGTGTTTATTTAAGAATGTCAAAAATAAAATGACATTTGTTTAAATCAACAGCCATGAAAATCGTACTGATTAAATCTAGGTTGGCATCACTGTTGTTAACTTGACTGATGTGAAGTATGTTTATTTTTCTACGAACTAAAGTTTTGCAAAATAAATTAAATTAAACGCATTTTAAGTAATATAGCAATTAATAAAATGATAAAAAATGAAAATATAATTGTTTTAACATTTAACATTTCATTATTTCCAAAAAAGTCATCGAAAAAATCAAAATGTCGGTGTTCAATTTTGACAGTTCATAAACTCAACATCATGCAACACTACTGTCAAAACTTGTTCATAATAAATTCAAATTTATGTTATTACTAATTTAAACCTTATTAATTAAACAAAAACTATAATTAATATATCAATAATAACTTACTAATCGCTGCGTCCATAAATAATCGTTTTAACCTCCTTTAGTTCCTCTTCAGGAATATATTTATCCAAAACCTTCTCTACACTCTCAATCTTGGCACTGGACATTTTTAACAATTTTTTATAATATAATTTATAATGAAGTTGTGAAAAATATTACAAAATGTTCCTGCACTTGTGAAACATTCAAGTTTTGATATAAAACTTTTTTATCAATGTCGGAAAATAAGTTATTAATAGATTTGTTTACACAACACACACAGCAAGTGATATATGATGCTGAAGTTTATTTGACCTTGTTAAAGAATTTAAGATTGTTGTTCAGGACATTGTTATTAATTTACAGATAAAAACAGTTGGAATTGATATTGAGGAAATTAGGAATTTGAATTATTGGTGTTATAGTAGATGTAGTTAATTTGTATTTGTAATATTACAACTTCTTATATGCATAAATTTAATTCAATCAATACTCTTAAGTATTAACATTTATATCTGTTTTTCAGTATATATAAAACGTGTTTCTGTCAAGCTCCTAAAACACACTTGACTAAAGCTAATCGAGTGCCAATTAATTTACTTGTTAATACCTATCTCCAACATAACAAGTTCCAATTAATAAACAATTATTATTAGATTAATATTTTATATCGATTTGTGAAGACAGGAAACTGAAAGCATTGAAACAGAAGTTTGGACAGGAAAATGAATAAAAAAGTGATTAATAATAATAAAATGGTAATGGAAATAATACTACCATTTACTATTATTATCGATTTGAGACGAAATTATAAAATTAGACTTTGAGTTATCTCTGTGCACTCATATCCTTGTCTACAAATATAATTATTAATATTTAATCATACATTTAGAGGTTCAAGAAAGGGTAGAAGGTATATTATTTTAAAAACCCTTAATTATGCTTTACATATATTTAAGAAAATTTATAACAAAATTATTGCTATATTTAGATTATACACAGAACAGAAATGGAGTGTCAGGGACGCTAGGACACAATATTTCTCGCCCTTTGCATTACATAAAAAACAAACTAACAATGTTATGAAAATATTACAAACTAGGATTGTATAATAATGGTAAAGCTTAAAACTTTATGTATTCATATAGAATTATAAAAATATGCTTACACGTTGAATTAATAATTGTTATATTGCTTAATTTTATTGAAATATATTGCACTAGCTTCTTTTCACAACATTTTAGATGATCAGATTTTTTCGCTTTTTAATAGAATTCTTTCACTTGTGTACATAGTTTTTTTTTTTTTATTTAATTTAAAGTTATTTTTATAATATATCAAACAACATTTCTGGCCTTTACTTTAAGGGGGTATTCTAGTGTAGAAATTAAAAAAAAATCGATTTTTTTTATTTCATATTTTCAAAGTTTAACTATTCAAGAATATAAGTACGAGGTTTTTGAAAATTTGAATTATTTTTGGAGATATAGGCATTTTACTGACTCGGTCTCCAAACTGGTTTGGCTTCATGCAAAACTTTAAATGCGTTTTTCTCAGAACTTACTTTTTCAGTACTCTTGTCACGATTTCTGGAGTTCTACTCGACCAATTTATTTGAAATTTTCAGTTAGTCTTGTTTATAGATATATCTATAGTCTGAACTAGAATCATGCCGAAAGTCCTATCTTTACTATTTTTAAAAAATTCGAGAAACTCAAAAAAACAGTTAAAAAAAACTTTTTTTTTTCAAACAACCACCAATTTGTGAAAAAAAAATTTTTTACTCATCGCTAGTTCAGCCGATTGCGACATCATTGTAGATTAATAATCTTTTTATTTTTTGCATTTTCGATGGCTAGGAGGGCTGAAATCATGTCAAGACTGAGGTGCCAATTTTTTGAGACCACCCACTTCACCAGTTGCCAGTTTTTACAATTTTTAACTTTTTTATTTTTTTATTTTTGTTTTGTATCTTAAAAATATAAATAGACAAATGGTAAAAAAATGGATAGTAAAAACATTCATTGCTTTCTTTTACGACACTTCAAAAATGACCTAAAATTCATCGCTCTACACTAGAATACCCCCTTAATACAAATTTACTATAGTATTTCCAATAAATTTTGAAATAACACAATCTATAAGACTGTTCGGAAAGTAATTTCGTTTTTTATCACAGGGAATTTAATTTTACAGTTTTGAATCCAACATCACACTCAAACTCTATAAATCCGGTCACAATTTTTTAGACAGAAGAATTGAATTCAATTGAACACACCTTGATCAGTTTTTTGCCAATAAAGACTAAAATTTATGATTCCAAAACGGCCAAAACATAATTTAATAAAATCTATGTTTATTATACGAAAATGACTTGTCAAAACGCTTATAAAAATCAAATTACTTTCTGAACTACCCAATAACATAATATTTACACAAACCAACTAAGTCATCACATAATATTTGTTGAAATCCACTAAAATGTCTTATATTATTTGTAGTAAGCAGTACATCAGGATAATATTTCTCCAACTTTTGTTCTAGATCTGCAGTGCTTAGGTTAACTTTTCTTGCATTTCCAAAGAATAAGCAATATGGCTCCTGGTGGATATAGTATCGCAATGTTCTTCCCCCAACACTTCCACCTGCTTTGGAAATAAATTCTGAAGTATATGAAGAGCAGCATCATAATCACCTTTTTTGTACAATGCTATACCCTTGACACCAGTAGAATGCATGGTGTCAAGTAGAATGCATGGCTTTTCATCAAATATTTTTTCTTGAAGTGGGATCAAAACATTACATTCTTGTAGGGCTTAATCATATTTTTCTAAATATTCCAAAATGTCTGCTATATCTTTTCTAGTGCAAAAACTCTCAGGGTGATGTTTCCCCAACTTCCTTTCTAAATCTGTCAGCAATCCTCTGTGACATTCGAGTGCTTCGGTTAACTTTCCCTTCCCTGTTAAACAATAAGCAATAAAGTTCCTAGTGGATATAGTTTCGCAATGTACTTCACCCAATACTTCTATCTGCTTTGGAAGTAAATTCTGAAGTATATGAAGAGCAGTATCATAATCACCTTTATAGTACAATACTACACCCCTGGCACAAGTAGAATGCATGGTGTAGACGTGCTTTTCACCAAGTATTTTTTTTTGAAGTGGGGTCAAAACATTACATTCTTGTAGGACTTCATCATATTTCTCTAAATCTATTAAAATGTCTACAATATCATTTCTAGTGAGCAGACTATCAAGATGATGGTTCTCCCACTTTCTTTCTAGATCTGCAAGTAATCCTCTGTGACATTCGAGTGCTTCGGTTAACTTTCCTACCTTTCTTAAAGAATAAGCAATAAAGCACCTAGTGGATATGGTATTGTCATGTACTTCTCCCAACACTTCCATCTGCTTTGAAAGCAAATTCTGAAATACATCAAGAGCCGCATCATAATTGCCTTTTCCGTACTATGCTACACCTCTTAAATATGCAGAATGCATAGTATCATCATGCTTTTCCCCAAGAACTGTTTCTTGAAGTGGGATCAAAACATCAAATTCTTGCAGAGCTTCTTCATATTTTTCTAAATTTATTAAAATGGCTACAATATCACTTCTAGTGCTCAGCCTCTCAGGATGATGTTTCTCGAACTTCCTTTCTAGATCTGTGAGCAATCCTCTGTGACATTCAAGTGCTTCGACTAACTTTCCTTTCTTTTCCAAAACATGAGCAATTTGGCGCCTTGTAACTATAGTATAGCCATCCACTTCACCCAACACTTCCATCTGTTTTGGAAGTAAATTTTGGAGTACATCAAGTGCTGCATCATAATCACCTTTTTCGTACAATGCAACCCCTTTCCAACCTATAGTACGCATGGTATCGGCATGGTTTTTGCCAAAAGCATCTTCTTGATTTCTAGTCAAAATATCAAATTCTTGAAGAGCTTCATCATATTGTTCACAATCTATTAAAATGTCCGCTATGTCTTTTCTAGTACGTAGAGTATCAGAATGATGCTTTCCCAAAGTTCTTTCTTTATCTCTCAATTTTCTTCTATGGGAATCAAGTACTTGAAGATAGTATTTTGATCCTTCACTATAATTACCTGCATGATTATAAATTCTACCCAAACACAGTTTTGTATGCAACGTAAGAGGATGATTTGATCCCAAGTCAACTTCACGCGACTTCAAATAATCTTGAAAAATATTTTTGACTTTATTATACTCTAATAACATTAGTAGTGCTGCCATTATGGTACGCTCAATATCAATCAATTCTACATCACTTTGAGCTATATTTTCCATATCTCTTAATGTTGTAAAGGCATCTCGATGTCTTCCGGAGTCGTGGAATCCCTTTGCAACCAAAATGCCAAGTTGTAAATGTTGTTGGACCAGCCTGTTATACTTTTTGGAATAATTCCAAACTAAACACGCATGATCAATATTTTTAAAATTCAAATCCATTGATAGAAATAAATTCAAACCTTGTTCTAAAATCTCTTCTTCTTCTTCATCCTTTTGTAAGTTCGATCTAATCACTCGCTGCACCAATCTGTGGACATTGACTTTCCCTTCATGAAAATTTATCATCGAAAACTGTTTCAACAATTCAATGGCCTTGCCTAATTCATTTTTATCAGTGAATAATGGCAAAAATAAAAGCACTGGAACATTGTCGGGTCCCATGTAAGATAAGAGATTTAAAACTTCTATTGCTTTGTCTCCATTATCTTTCATTTTTATTGCATAAATTGAAACATTCCAAGTCGCCAGAACTGTTTTTGAGTAAGTATTCTCGTTATCTGCAGGAAATTCGAAGTCAAGCAGTTCATTTGTCTTCTCTTCAAATTTTTGCAAATAATTAAAAACAGTAAATTGTTCTTCGATATTCTTCAGGTAATCATGCATTTTTATGTACGCAACTGCTTGTTGAAGTGCCAAAGGCAAAAATTGTAACTTTTGTGATAACTTTTCGGCATTCTTTATTTCTAAATCATTATCTAACTCCAGTGACGTTTGAATAAAATCTGATGCTTCTTTTTCCGTGAATACATTCAAGTCTAATCTTTTAATTTTCCTTGGCCATTTCTTGTTGCGTGAAGTAATTAAAATGTAAGGCGTATTTAAATTTTCAGGAAGTGAAGGAAGAAATGGCTCAATACCATTATTTTTGTTTTCTTTGTATATTGTGGCATTATCAAAAACGAATAGGCTTTTACTGCGGGAGAAATAATTATACACATCCTCAACTATAGCTTGGATCGATCTTGGTTCGTCGTCAATAGTTTTGATTTTAATTCCAAGTTTATCATTTGCCAAACTCTTAAAAGATGTTTCGATCGATTTATTTGTCTCAGCATATATCCACAAAATTTTATTATTATATATTTCGCTATAATCTTTAATATATTTTCTAGACAACTCTGTTTTTCCGACTCCTCCGAGACCACTTATGCAAACCATCTTATGTTTTTGTAGTGCTTCATGCAAATTACACAACACTTCTGTTCTTCCTGTGAAAGAACTGACTGGATCTCGAAAACAAAATAAAATACCTTTTCTGGCATCATCAATCATTTTTTGAAACTCATCACTTGAAATAAATTTATTGCCATATGAGTCCATTAGCAACTTTTCCACAAACATATGTAATTCGTTGTACACAGTTCCAGTCGTTATCATGTCAAATTTTTCTTTTTTAATAATATCATTTTTTATAATTGTTTCCATTTCATGTGCATGAGGCTGGTTTACTGCAAAAATTAAATGATCTAAGAATTCTATTATTAGCTCATTAGCATAATACTTTCCTTCATGTTCTTTTAGTTTGTTTTTTAATAAAAAAACTATGTTGTTTTTGCAAAACTTATATCGTTTAGGTACCTTTTCCATACTCCCCATTTTCAACATTCTATCCTCATCTAGTATTTCATAAATTTCTATATAGTTTTTGTTCAAATCTGTATAGTCAAAATCAATATTAGTACAAACGATGACATCTTTAATTACTCCTTCCTGAAACATTTTTTCTTTTTTTAACATGTGATAAGAATGACAATATTTGACAAGGCTATAATTTGATTTTTTCGCCATCAAATTATCATAGGTGATCTTCTTTCCATCTTCTACATACACGTGTTTGGCTTGCAGAAGTCTAAAAAATTTTTTATTACCTTCTTTATATTCAAAAACCAGATCATCGAATTTGTGCGCTTCTTGTACTTCTGTGCCCAGTCTAAAATTGTATCCAAAAAAAGTGGCTCGGCATAGAAAGAGCATCAGCAATTTTATTTGATAAACGTTTCCATGAATTGCATTATTAAATTTGGGTTTTTTGTTCTGTTCAACTTCACCTGTATTTTGATATTCTAGTTTTCTTTTGCTTTTAGCAGAGTTCATTTTTATTATTAACAGATAACACAAAACTCAGTATACAATATGTTGTATATGTTGTATACATGCGATACAAACAACTTTATCTTTTTATAACTTAATCGCATTCAATTGTATTGAAATTGATGATATCGCACTAATGATAATTTATTTATTTATTAAAATAGCAATCAACATACAATTCAATCTTATAAGTTATTGTAACACAAATGAGAGGGTCGAAAGTTCATTCAAGTTCACACTGATGACACCGAATTATTATTATACACGCAATTCAACTAATAATTTATAAAATTGTTTTTTTTTTATTTGCTAGTTTTTACATATATCGTATTAATAACTCACCGGATACTTGTCTATTTATTTATTTTATGAAAGCAGTACATCAGTACCTAATATTTTTTTAAATGCACTAAAATTTTCCCCCGAAAACAATAAGTATCCGGTAAAGGTGCGTTTTAGAAATTATGAATTGACAGAAAAAGAAACATTTTATTATGAAGAGAAGAGAACTTTGTACATCAAAAACACTTTTTTACACTACCGATTTAATTAATTTACGTCTTACCATTCGTAACAGCACTTATAAACTGATAAGCGAATGAGAAAAAAAATGCACCTATTGCAAAACGGATATGCTGAAATTTGCTAAAACTTGTGATGTGTTGTCCGATAATATAATCAGATGAGACATATTAAAATTAGTTGGTATTGGTATTTTGCATTGAGGCAAGTTACATGAACCGATATGTGTAAATAATCGATTTAATCAATAAAAAGTTGATTAATTTATGAGTGATTAAAATTATTTCCGAATGGATTTATTATACATCATTGAAAACGAACGAACACGTTAACTCGGAGTATTTTCTAAAGCCAAATTTTCACAAATCAATAATTTTTCTAATAGAACTAGTTTCCATAGGAATCTTTAATGGTTTAGTATGTTCATTAAGACCAAGTACTCTATCGTTTCACCAAGTAAATCGTCTAATTTTAATTTTAACAAACTACTAATTTTCTTCAACTTTGATGATTTTTTAAAATTAAACTACTTATCGAAAGGCCGTAATATTTCAGTAAGTTCTATAAGAACATGATATATATCGCCAAAAAAAGTTCCATAAAAATCGACTCAATTTTTTTTTCAATAGTTAATTACAAGAAAACGGCTCGGTAGATTTTCACCTAAAACTAATCAGTACCATTCCCAACTAATATATTTCGAATAGTTTTTGATTTTTTAAAATCGGTTCGGTAGGATGAGCTTAAATGTGGACGAAAAGTTCAACACTTTTTTTCAAACTACAAAGAAACCGCTTTGCAGATCGTCGCCCAAAACTGACAAACGATAGTCCTCATCGAAATACATCAACTGGCTTTTAAATTTCTGAAATCGGTTCAGGCGTTTTTGAGAAAACGTCGATGAAAGGTCTAATTTCGACAAATGCCAAAAACCGATACCAATTTTTGCAAACTTTGTCGAATTTTCAAAGTTATGATCTATAAGACTATGGTATCTACCGTCAAAAAAAATAATAGATAAAAAAATTTTTTTCAACACCTTATTACAAGAAAACATTCCGGCCGATCTCTACCAAAAACTCATCAGCACGAACCAATATCTTTCGAACGGTTTTTGAATTTTTAAAATTGATTCAGAACTGCGGGCTAAAACGTGGATGAAAATTTTTTCACTTTTCTAATATTTACAAGAAAACGGCTTTTGGCTTTTGAATTTTTGAAATCGGTCTAGCCGTTTTTGAGAAAACGTCGATTTACGTCAAAAAATCTGTTCACACACACACAAATACTTTTTCCAAATTTGGTCTCATTCGATTCAGAATGGCTTGAAACGTCAAGTAAACATAAAATTAGCGAATCGTATTTTTTGATGAAAACATGAACTTCTCCTTTGGGAAGTTAAAAATATGCTTACACGTTGAATAATAATACCTGTTATATTGCTTAATTTTATTGAAATATATTTCAGCAGCCTCTTTTCACAAAATGTAATCTCATCCATGATATTTGCAACATTTTAGATGTATAGATTTTTTTGGTTTTTAATAGAATCGTTTCACTAGTTTTAGGAAAGTAATTTCGTTTTTTATGACAGGGACTTTTATTTTACATTTTTGAATCCAACATCACACTCAAACCCTATAAACCCGGTCATAATTTTTTAGACAGAAGAAACTTCAATTGAACCCACCTTGATCAGTTTTTTGCCAATGAAGACTAAAATTTATGATTCCAAATATAATACCCTATAAACCCGGTCATAATTTTTTAGACAGAAGAAACTTCAATTGAACCCACCTTGATCAGTTTTTTGCCAATAAAGACTAAAATTTATGATTCCAAATATAATAAAAAAAAGTTCGACCAAAACGGGCAAAACATAATTTAAAACAATGTATGTTTATTATACGAAAATGACTTGTCAAAATGCTTATAAAACGAAATTACTTTCTGAACTGCCCAATAAAATAATATCTACACGAACCAACTACTTAAATCATCACATAATATTTTTTGAAATCTACTAAAATGTCTTATATCATTTACAGTAACCAGACTACCAGGACGATATTTCTCCAATTTTAGTTCTAGATCTGCAGTACTTAGGTTAACTTTTCTTTCATTTCCAAAGAATGAGCAATATGGCTCCTGGTGGATATAGTATCGCGATGTTCTTCACCCAAAACTTCCACCTGCTTTGGAAGTAAATTCTGAAGTATATGAAGAGCAGCATCATAATCACCTTTATTGTACAATGCTACACCCCTGACACCAGTAGAATGCATGGTGTAAAAATGCTTTTCACCAAGGATTTTTTCTTGTAGTGGGATCAAAACATTACATTCTTGTAGGGCATCATCATATTTTTTCAAATCTATAAAAATGTCTACAACATCATTTCTAGTGCGCAGACTCTCAGGATGATGATTTTCCAACTTTCTTTCTAGATCTGTAAGCAATAATCTGTGACATTCCAGTGCTTCGACTAACATTCCTTTTTTTCTCAAAGCATAAGCAATATGGCGCCTGGTGGATATAGAATCGTCATCTATTTCTCCAAATATTTCCATAATATTTGGAAGTAAATTTTGAAGTATATCAAGAGCTGCATCATAATCGCCTTTTTCATACAATGCTACACCACTTAAAGCAGTAGAATGCATAGTGTTGCCATGCTTTTCACCAAGAACTTTTTTTTGAAGTGGGATCAAAACATGAAATTCTTGTAGGGCTTCATCATATTTTTCTAAATCTATTAAAATGTCTGCTATATCACTTCTAGTGCACAGACTATGAGGATGTTTCTCCAATTTCCTTTTAAGATCATTAAGCAATCCTCTACGACATTCAAGTGCTTCGACTGACTTTCCTTTCTCTTCCAAAGCATAAGCAATATAGCTCCTGGTGTATATAGTATCGCCATCTACTTCTCCCAATACTTCCATCTGCTTTGGAAGTAAATTCTGAAGTAAATAAAGAGCAGTATCATAATCGCCTTTCTTGTACAATGCAATTCCTTTCGAACAAATAATATGCATTGTATCAACATGTTTTTCCCCAATGATTTTTTCTTGAAGTGGGATCAAAACGTTACATTCTTGTAGGACATCATCGTATTTTTTTAAATCTATAAAAATGTCTACAATATCATTTCTAGTGTGCAGACTCTCAGGATGATGGTTCTCCAACTTTCTTTCTAGATCTGCAAGCAATCGTCTGTGACATTCCAGTGATTCGACCAACTTTCCTTTCTCTCTCAAGACATAAGCAATATGGCGCCTGGTCTCTATAGTATCGTCATCTACTTCACCCAACACTTCCATCTGCTTTGGCAGTAAATTTTGAAGTAAATGAAGAGCAGCATCATAATCGCCTTTTTTGTACAATGCAATTCCTTTCGAACAAATAGTATACATCGTATCGACATGTTTTTCGCCAAGGATTTTTTCCTTAATTGGGATCAAAACATCAAATTCTTGCAGAGCTTCTTCATATTTTTCTAAATATATTAAAATGTCTACAATATCATTTTTAGTGCTCAGAATCTCAGGATGATGGTTCTCCAAATTTCTTTCCAGATCTGCAAGCAATCGTCTGTGACATTCCAGTGCTTCGACCAACTTTCCTTTCCCTCTCAAAGAATAAGCAATATGGCGCCTTGACTCTATAGTATCATCATGTACTTCTCCCAACACTTCCATCTGCTTTGTAAGTAAATTCTGAAGTAAATGAAGAGCAGCATCATAATCATCTTTTTTGTACAATGCAATTCCTTTCGAACAAATAGTATGCAATGTATCAACATGTTTTTCGCCAAGGATTTTTTCTTGCATTGTGATCAAAACATCAAATTCTTGTAGGCCTTCATCATATTTTTCTAAATCTATTAAAATGTTTGCTATATCACTTCTAGTGCACAGACTATGAGGATGTTTCTCCAATTTTTTTTTTAAATCTTTAAGCAATCTTCTACGACATTCAAGTGCTTCGACTGGCTTTCCTTTCTTTTCCAAAGCATAAGTTATATGGCGCCTGGTGTCTATAGTATCGCTATCTACTTCTCCCAATACTTCCATCTGCTTTGAAAGTAAATTCTGAAGTAAATGAAGAGCAGCATCATAATCACCTTTTTCGTACAATGCAATTCCTTTCGAACAAATAATATGCATTGTATCAACATGTTTTTCACCAATGATTTTTTCTTGAAGTGGGATCAAAACGTTACATTCTTGTAGGACTTCATCGTATTTTTTTAAATCTATAAAAATGTCTACAATATCATTTCTAGTGTGCAGACTCTCAGGATGATGGTTCTCCAAATTTCTTTCTAGATCTGCAAGCAATCGTCTGTGACATTCCAGTGCTTCGACCAACTTTCCCTTCTCTCTCAAAGAATAAGCAATATGGCGCCTTGACTCTATAGTATCATCATGTACTTCTCCCAACACTTCCATCTGCTTTGTAAGTAAATTCTGAAGTAAATGAAGAGCAGCATCATAATCATATTTTTTGTACAATGCAATTCCTTTCGAACAAATAGTATGCAATGTATCAACATGTTTTTCGCCAAGGGTTTTTTCTTGCATTGTGATCAAAACATCAAATTCTTGTAGGCCTTCATCATATTTTTCTAAATCTATTAAAATGTTTGCTATATCACTTCTAGTGCACAGACTATGAGGATGTTTCTCCAATTTTTTTTTTAAATCTTTAAGCAATCTTCTACGACATTCAAGTGCTTCGACTGGCTTTCCTTTCTTTTCCAAAGCATAAGTTATATGGCGCCTGGTGTCTATAGTATCGCTATCTACTTCTCCCAATACTTCCATCTGCTTTGGAAGTAAATTTTGAAGTATATCAAGAGCTGCATCATAATCGCCTTTTTCATACAATGCTACACCTCTCAAAGCTGTAGAATGCATAGTGCCGCCATGCTTTTCACCAAGAACTTTTTCTTGAAGTGGGATCAAAACGTTACATTCTTGTAGGACTTCATCGTATTTTTTTAAATCTATAAAAATGTCTACAATATCATTTCTAGTGTGCAGACTCTCAGGATGATGGTTCTCCAACTTTCTTTCTAGATCTGCAAGCAATCGTCTGTGACATTCCAGTGATTCGACCAACTTTCCTTTCTCTCTCAAAGAATAAGCAATATGGCGCCTGGTCTCTATAGTATCGTCATCTACTTCACCCAACACTTCCATCTGCTTTGGCAGTAAATTTTGAAGTAAATGAAGAGCAGCATCATAATCGCCTTTTTTGTACAATGCAATTCCTTTCGAACAAATAGTATACATCGTATCGACATGTTTTTCGCCAAGGATTTTTTCCTTAATTGGAATCAAAACATCAAATTCTTGCAGAGCTTCTTCATATTTTTCTAAATCTATTAAAATATCTACAATATCATTTCTAGTGACCAGACTCTCAGGATTATGGATCCCCAACTTTCTTTCTAGATCTGTAAGCAATTCTCTGTGGCATTCAAGCGCTTCGGATAACTTTTCTTTCAGTTTCAAAGAACAAGCAATATGGCGTCTGATGTATATAGTATCATCATCTACTTCTCCTAATACTTCCATCTGCTTTGGAAGTAAATTTTGGAGTACATCAAGTGCTGCATCATAATCGCCTTTTTCGTACAATGCAACCCCTTTCCAACCTATAGCACGCATGGTATCGACATGGTTTTTGCCAAGAGCATCTTCTTGATTTTTAATCAAAATATCAAATTCTTGAAGAGCTTCGTCATATTTTTCACATTCTATTAAAATGTCCGCTATGTCTTTTCTAGTACGTAGAGTATCAGAATGATGTTTTCCCAAACATCTTTCTTGATCTCTCAATTTTCTTCTATGTGAATCAAGTACTTGGAGATAGTATTTTAATCCTTCACTACGATCACCTGCACGATTATAAATTTCACCCAAACACTGTTTAGTATGCAACGTAAGAGGATGATTTGATCCCAAATCAGTTTCACGCAAATTTAAATAATCTTGAAAAATATTTTTGACTTTATCATACTCTAATAAAATTAGTAGTGCTTCCATTATGCCACCCTCAATATCAATCAATTCTACATCACTATCTATGATATGAGTTATATTTTCCATGCACCTAATACTCCATAATATTGTAAAGGCATCTCGATGTCTTCCGGAGTTGTTCAATTCCTTACCTATTAAAATTGGAAGTTGTAAATGTTGTTGGACCAGCCTGTTATACTTTTTGGAATAATTCCAAACTAAACACGCATGATCAATACTTTTAAAACTTAAATCTATTGATAGAAATAAATTCAAACCTTGTTTTAAAACATCTCCTTCTTTTTCATCCTTTTGTAAGTTCGATCTAATCACTTGCTGCACCAATCTGTGGACATTGACTTTCCCTTCATGTGAATTTATCATCGAAAACTGTTTCAACAATTCAATGGCCATGCCCAATTCATTTTTATCATTGAATAATGGCAAAAATAAATGCACGGGAACATTGTCGGGTCCCATGTAAGATAAGAGATTTAAAACTTCTATTGCTTTGTCTCCATTGTCTTTCATTTTTATTGCATAAATTGAAACATTCCAAGTCACCAGAACTGTTTTAGAGTAAGTATTCTCGTTATCTGCAGGAAATTCGAAACCAAGCAGTTCATTTGTCTTCTTTTCAAATTTTTGCAAATAATCAAAAACAGTAAATTGTTCTTCGATATTCTTCAGGTAATCCTGCATTTTTATGTACGCAACTGCTTGTTGAAGTGCCAAAGGCAAATATTGCAACTTTTGTGATAACTTTTTGGCATTCTTTATTTCTAAATCATTATCTAACTCCAGTGACTTTTGAATAAATTCTGATGATTCTTTTCTTGTGAATACATCCAAGACTAAGCTTTCAATTTTTTGCGGCCAATTTTTGTTGCGTGAAGTAATTAAAATGTAAGGCGTATTTAAATTTTCAGGAAGTGAAGGAAGAAATGGCTCAATACCATTATTTTTGTTTTCTTTATATATTGTGGCATTATCAAAAACGAATAGGCTTTTACCGCGGGAGAAATAATTGTACACATCCTCAACTATAGCTTGGATCGATCTTGGTTCGTCGTCAATAGTTTTGATTTTAATTCGGAGTTTATCAGTTGCCAATCTCTTAAAAGAATCTTGAAGAGACTCTTTTGTCTCAGCATTTATCCATACAATTTTATTATCAAATATTTTGCTGCACTTTTTAATATATTTTCTGGTCAATTCTGTTTTTCCGACTCCTCCAAGACCACTTATGCAAACTGTCTTATTTTTTTTAAGTGATTTGTGCAAAGTAACCAATATTTTCTTTCTTCCTGTAAAAGAGTTGATAGGATCCCGCACACCGAACAGGATTGAAATACCCTTTCTGGCTTCATCAAAAAAAGATTTGCAATCTTCACATGAAATATATTTATTGCTTTCTCTATCCTTCACAAAATCCAATAATAAGTTTTGAAGTTTGCAATACACAGTTTTAGCCATCTCCATGTCAAATTTTTCTTCTTCACCAATTTCTCTTTTTATAATGTCTTGCATTTCTTTTTCATTTGGCTGATTTACTGCAAAAATTAAATGATCTAGAAATTCTTCTATTTCTTCTTTAGTATAACATGTACTTTCATATTCTTCTATTTTACTTTTTAATGAAAAAACTATGTTTCCTTTGCAAAACCTATATCGTTTATGTTCCTTTTCCGTATTACTCTCCATTTTCAACATTCTATCCTCATCTAGTATTTCATCGATTTCTATATTGTTTTGGTTCAAATTGTTAACATCAAAATCAATATTAGTACAGATGATGACATCTTTGATCACTCCATCTTGAAACATTTTTTCTTCCTTTATCTCGTGATAAGATTTGCAATATTTTATTAGACTAAAGTCATTTGTTTTATTCGCCATCAAATCACGTGAGGTGATTTTTTTCGTACCTTCTTTATTCAGGTGTTTGGCTTGCAGAAGTCTGTAATACTTTTTACCACCTTCTTTATATTCAAACAAAAGATCATCAAATTTGCCCGCTTCTTCTACTTCTGTACTCAATCTAAAATCATAATTAAAGAAAGTGGCTCGACATAGGAAGAGCATGAGTAGTTTTATTTGGTACATGTTCCCGTGAAGTGCATTACCACATGGCTTAGGTTTTTTACCGTTTTTGCCCCCAGAAGTTGAAGGATTTGAAGAGCTTCTATAATTTTCGACATCAGCCCCTGCTTGAAGGTATTCACTTTTATTCATTTTCTTTATTAATGGAAAACTTGAAACACCATTAATCAAACTATAGAATGATATCTAGCACTTGATGTTTTGATTTTTACCAACAACGCTATCACTGATAACCCACTCGCGACAATTGAATTGATATTGAAGATATCGCACAGATATGATAAATCAAATTATAGCACGCAATTTAATTCGAAATCGTTTCTTGTTGCTAATTTTTACATTATTGTATGTATTATTAAAAAAATCTCTAAACTATTAAGACACTTGGACAACTGGAAACGAATCACAAAATTATCTATTTATTTTATAGAATAAGCACTCTATTTTTTTCGCGAAAATCAATACCGAATCGGTCTAGAAATGATTTAAATTTATGTATTAAAAGCAAAAAAATAATTTACAGTTTTTAACTATACTTGGTTATTTCGTTTTCACATCAAAAAACCTATTTACACACTTGATTTGTTGACGCAATATAAACTCTCGGAACACTGATAAACGAATGAGACTGCACAATTTTTAATAAAACATTCATTTCAAAACGGATGTGATTCACACTTTTGGAAGTGTTGCCCGATTTGCTATTTAAGATTGCACGCAAAAACTAGTGGTGTATGGCATCGTGTCTTAAAGCAAATTGCTGGAACTTCCCGCAGCGTAACGAAATGTTCGAGTAATATTAAATGCTTTCAAGTAGATTATTATCAATACTGTTACATTGTCTAATATTTATAAAATTATACTAGTTGGTATTGGTATTTTGTCTTGCGGCAAGTTACATGAACTTTCCGATATGTGTAAATAATCGACTTAATCAATAAAATATAAATTAAGTTATGATTGATTAAAAGTATTCCGAGTGGATTTATTACACCTAATTGAAAACGAACGAACACTCTATCGTTATACCAAGCAAATCGTCTAATTTTAATTTTAACAAACGTTAAAAAACTACTCATTTTCTCAAACTTTGATAATTTTTTAAAATTGAACTACTTGTCGCAAGGCCGTAATATTTCAGTAAGTTCTATAAGACCATGATATATATAACCAAAGAAAGTTCCATAAAAATCGGCTACAATTTTTGTTTCAACAGTTAATTACAAGAAAACGGCTCGGTAGATTTTCACCTAAAACTAATCAGTATCATTCCCAACTAATATCTTTCGAACAGTTTTTGATTTTTTTAAATCGATTCGGTTGTATGAGCTTAAATGAGGGCAAAAGTTTAACATTTTTTTCAAAACTATAAAGAAACGGCTCGGTCGATCGTCGCACAAAACGATAGTCCTCATTGAGATACGTCAAATGCCTTTTAAATTTCTGAAATCGGTTCAGGCGTTTTTGAGAAAACGTCGATGAAAGGTCTAATTTTTACATATACCAAAAAAGCGATACCAATTTTAGCAAACTTTGACGAATTTTTAAAGCTAAACGAGTTGTCGTAGGGCGGTAATATTTTTGTATGATCTAGAAGACTATATGGTATCTACCCTCAAAAAAATAATAAGAAAAATCGTCAAAAAAATTTTTTTTAACAATTTATTACAAGAAAACGGCCCGACCGATCTGTACCAAAAACTAATCAGCACGACTGCCAACCAATATCATTCAAACGGTTTTTGAATTTTCAAAATCGATTCAGAATTGCGGGCTAAAACGTGGACGAAATTTTTTTCACTTTTCTGCTATTTATAAAGAAACGGCTAGACCGATCATCGCACAAAACTGACAAACAATAGTCCTCATTGAGATACAACGAATGGCTTCTAAATTTTTGAAATCGGTCCAGCCATTTTGGAGAAAACGTCGATTTACGGCAAAAAATCTGTTCATACACACGCACACACACACACATACTTTTTCCAAATTTGGTCTCATTCGATTCAGAATGGCTTGAAACGTCGAGAAAACGTAAAATTAGCGAATCGTTTTTTTTATGAAAACATAAACTTCTCCCTCGGAAAGTTAAAAATCGTATTCTCATTTATTTGCATATTATGCAGCAAAATGTTCAGAAACCTTTGAAACTTCTTAATTCTAAAGGAAAAGGTTTTGTCGATCGACTCGCTAAATTAATCAATTTGTGTCTTTATATATATAGAGTTTCATCAAATAATTTTTAAATTTCTAAAATCTGATATATTTTAAATGATATATCCAACAATATTTTTTCCAGTTTCAGTATCAAACGATTCAGAATGACTTGAAACTCGAATTTAAATAATTGGATTTTCAGGTGAAAAACTTCTCATCATGAAATTAATAATAACAGTTTCATATTGTTAATTATTATATTCAACAATATTTCAGTTTAACAAAATAAACCATAGTTTTACCAATTTGATGTCAAACCATTCAGAATGACTTGAAACATGAAATCAGCAAATAGAATTTTCTGATGGAAACACAAACTTCTCCTTTGGGAAATTAATAATAACAATATGGTATTCTTAATGATATATTTAACTTAACTTTAAATACACCATAATTTTCCCAATTTCGATGTCAAACGATTCAGAATGATTTGAAACATAGAATCGATTCTTAATCAACTAAATTATCTATGAGCATATATAAATGGATTTTTAAAGGTACTCCAAAAATATTTTTACATTTTTGTAATTCAAATATATTCAAAGACCTGCAATTATCTAAATCATTGTCTCCAGCCAGGTGTAGCAGTACTAAGTGACCTAGTCTTATTTTTTTATTTTTTTTATTATTACAGTTATTATACATATTTACAAACATCATTTTTTTATCGTGGTAAAAGTTTCGAATTTTGCACCAGGTAATGCAAATGCAAGAATGCACATTTTTTTGTTTTCATTTTAAGGTTTCATTGTTTTTATTTTTCATTGTGCAGAGTCACATCAAATGGTTCTTGAAGCATATGGTCATCATGCTCTATCAGGAGCAACATGCCAAAGATGGTTTCAACGACTCAGAAATAATGATTTTGGTTTGAGAAATGACGAACGTGGAAGACCATCAAAAAAGTCTGGAGACGAATTGCTAGCTATATTAGATGAAGATAACCTTGTCCCAAAAGCAAACGGCAAAAATATTAAATGTTGCTCAGACAGCAATTTCTTACCATGGAGAAACACTAAAAGGCCGTAAAATTGGTACCACAAAAATTGAATGAAAGGCAGATAAAAAGCCAAAAAAACACTTCTAAAATTTTGCTTCAAAAACACCAAGTAAAATCTTTTTTAAAAATGCTCAATAAAGAAACCACGAGTTAATCCGGGACAACCTTAAACATCAACTGCAAAGCCAGATCGAATCAGCAAGAAGACAATGCTATGCGTATTTGGTGGAACCAAAGTGGCGTGGTTTATAATGAGTTGAGACAGTTGATCAATTTGAACCATACGATCCAAAATCGACCAGAATGTGTCCAAAAGACGCGCCAAGGTAATTTTGATCCACGATAATACACTTGTACATAAAGCAAAACCACCTGAAAAGAAAAGGGTGAATGGGAAGTGGTATAATAAAAAATGATTCCTTAAAATTACTCAGTTTATTTTAAATGTTACTTGTTTCACGGTTCAGCAAAAAGAGAATTATTTTACATAGTTTTAACATAAACAAAAATATAAGATGGCGGATACCTAGTTGAGTAGAGGGACACTATTGCCAACATTACTAATAGTAATGGCGGGACATTTGAATTACAATATATAACATTACACAAAAATGTGTCAAACAATTTTGTACAGGAAGAATGATAACATTCTAGATCCTCCCCCCACGAAGTAATGCCTGACGGTTTTAGTCGGTATTATACTCAGGCGGTATTGAGTCCGACATACCCAGACAAAAGACTAGTCTTGGATAAATGCATTTCCTTCTGAATGTAATCAAAAACCTTTGCTGGGAGTTGCTTATTCACAAGGCTTTGCTCCTTCTGAGTACCATATATTTTCATCAATGGGACACACATCAACTCAGCAGCACTTTGATTTCACGAAGAAGTCAAAAATTGGGTGCTAAATTTTATCAAAAGACCAAAAATCCTTTTGGCGCGGTATGCACAAATTTACTGAATGATGGACAAAATTTGCGGCTAGCAATGGTTAATGATAATAAGTAGTAATCTGCCTGCAGACAGGTTCATGGTGTAAGAGCATCAGAAATCAATTATTCCCTTTCCCATCCTTATGTTTAGAGAGCGTCCATTAACCACGTGAAGTTTTTAGGGGGGGTTTGGCAAAAAAATATCACGTGGGGGTGAGGTATAGTAAGATATCACGTGTATTTTTTTTTGAAGTAAAACTTCTTTCGGCGCGACTAGAGTGTAAATCCGCACGAATGCAACGGAAGTCCGTTACGCCCGAACTGTTCGTTATTCGCTCTCGATGAGATCATTTCCATACGGGTCGATCGTGATTAGTCGTCGTGTATGTGAATAGAGATCTGTCGTTGTATGCCTACCGGCATCAACGTTGTATGCGTACCGGCATCAACGTTGTATGCGTACAGATATGAACAAGGAAATCGGCATAGATAAATAAACATTTTAAAGTTACATCGCAGTACAAATCTTGATTTGAAGAATAATGCTTAAATCAGAAGAATATTTTAACCTGTTCCTTGAAAATAATAAAACAAATTAAACATTTGTGCCGTGTACTAAACGTAGGTTTACTGATTAGAAATTATTTCTATATTATTCGTAGTTTCTATAAATCTTTGAAAGTATTAAAATGGAAAATATTTTTTAGGCAAGACAGATATTACAGCTGTTCAAAGAATGAGATTAAATCGCCAGCGAAAAAGTAAAAAAAATACAAGCAGTCAATGAATGTATGTTAATTTTAATTACATGAAGTTCTTCAAACATAATTACATTGAAAAACAATATTTGTTTAGGCGTTATTTAACATAATCAACTATGTGAACGTTATTATAGAATTTATTAATCAGCAATTACTTCATTTCTCTAATGAAGGTTCATTTCTAAATGCTAATTACAATGACAAACCGATCATGCCATACTCAAAGTAAAACTTTAATTACATTATTGTTTTTAAATATTATACATATTTTATATAAATGTGTATAATGGTTGACACTAATGAACGTGTGCATCACGAGTGTTACCATATTACTAATAAACATTATTCAAAATTGTTATATAATGTATTTTTTTTACTTAAAAGCCATCTGTACAGTAGCAAATAAGTTTTACTTCAATCACATGTGAACTTTATGCGCACTCTTTTTCTTAATTAATTTTTTTAAAATAGTTCAGACATTTTCAAAAGAAAAATCAAAATTTTTACAGTTTTTTCATGTAACTAAAAATACATGTGATGTTTGGTGGGGCAGAGGTGGTGATTCTGAATATCACCATGTATCATATCATCAAGGGGGAGGGGGGGTCCAAAAATCCTAAAAATCTCGCTCACGTGAATAATGGGCGCCCCCTTATTATTCCCAATGGCCAATATGTTGAATCAAATATTTTTTCCCTTTACCCATTAGAAATTAATGTTTTATGTGTCCCAAAAAACGTTAACATACTGCTACACCTGTGCAGAAGTTTGTAGATATTGTTGTGCAAAAGTCAAGCAAAATCGGATTTTCTGGGAAAAACATAAACTTCTACTTGAGGAAATTAATTACTTAATTTAAATAAATAATTAAATTAACACTTATGTTCTTAATAATATATTCAATAATATATATATTAAACTTATGATGTTCTTAATAATATATTCAGATGTATAAAAAAATACATCCTTAATTATTCATGAAGTTGCTGAATTATCCAAAATTTCTTTATGTATCTCCATATGTTTCCTTAACCCGCTCGCTTTATTATATCCTTTCCCACATAATTCACATTTATTAGGCTTCGTACTACCATGTGTTTTCATGTGCCTCTTCAAACTACTCGTTTGACTAAAAGCTTTCTTGCATATATCACATTTAGAAGCCCGTATTCCGGTATGAAGAATGACATGTTTTTTTAAACTAGCCTTCTCAGAAAAAGATTTATCACATATCTCACACACAAAAGGACGTTCTCCAGTATGAAGAATTGCATGCCTGGACAAACTACCAGGTGTAGTAAACTCTTTAGTGCATATATTGCATCTATAAAGTTTGATTTGTAAATGAGTAAGCTGGTGGGCTTCTAAATTTCTGCGCAAGGTAAATGCTCGAGGACATATTGGACATTTAAAAGGTCGTATACCAGTATGGGATAACAAGTGTGTTCTTAAACTACTCATTTGTGTGTAAGTTCTGCTGCATGTTTCACATTTATAATTACGCTCTCCGGTATGGACTACCAAGTGTTTTGTTAAGTTTCCTGCAAACGCAAAGGCTCTAGGACATGTTTCACATTTATAAGGACGCAGTCCGTTGTGAATATTCATATGATCTTGTAAATGCTTAAGTGATAAGAATGTTTTTTCACAAAGTTCACATTTGTGGGGACGTAGCCTGGTGTGCACTTTCATATGTTTGCGTAAACACAGTTCATTATTATATGATTTATTGCACATGTTACACTGAAAAGCCAGTTCATCATTTTGCATTGTTATTAACTCTAAGTTTGCAAATTTTTCATCAGGTTTCTCACAAGTTATTTGGTTTTGTGTAAAATGATTGGTTAAATATTCAGTTAGAGTGTTAGAGTGTGCAGTAACCATATGTTTACGCAAATTATCTTCCAGGCTGAACGATTTATCACACAACATACATTTGTGCAGTTTATCTGCATGAACACTCATATGCCGTTTTAAATGATTTGTTGTAGGAAAAGCTTTATCACAAACTGTACATTTAAAACACTCATCAGTCTGATGACAGGCCATATGCTTTTTAAAATTACCTGGTGATTTAAATACTCTATCACACGGTACACATTTGTGTTCCCCATTAGCATGTGTATTCAGGTGCTGTTTCAAATAACTCCGTTGACTGAATGCTTTTTTGCATATTTTGCATTCATAAGGTCGCTCTTCACTATGTGAAGACATATGTTTATGTAAATTGCCTATAAGATTAAATGATTTATCACATACGGTACATTTATGTACACGTGCATCAAAATGGATAACCAAGTGTTGTTTTAAATAACTTTGTTTAGCAAATATTTTATAACATATTTCACATTTAAAACATTGTAGTGCTGTTTGTTGTTTAAGATTATTTGATGATAAAGACTTACCATGAGTAGATTCGAGGTCTTGTGGTAATTCATCGTACGATTGTGTTACCTCTTGCTTCAGTCTTTCATCTATTGGTACATCGGAAATAATAAAATTTTCTGAGTTATCTTCTGGATGCATTTCTTGTTTAATTTCATCTGTCATAACTACACTTGCATCATTATCTTCGTTTACAGAACTTTCTACGTGATCTTCTAAGTGCAATTCTGACTTAATATCATACAATAATTCTTCTTTTATAACAATATCTGCATCATTGGTTTCTTCTATTGAATAATCAATAGGTTCTGTTTTAATTACATGATTAATTTGTGGAAACTGATTTGTATCTTCAGACATTTTGACAATGTTTCTTAAATCTATGTTATTAAAATCAATTCTGAAGTTGTTGTTTCACTGAAATTATTTTAATTCATAATATTATAAATAAAGATTATAACTAGCATATATATTATTTATTACTACATTTTTCGTTATTTACATTTTTATTACAACTTTGTTTATGATTTATGTTGACATTGCAAATATCAAAACCGGGCAGGATAGCCAACACCTTCATTGATATTATGAAAAACATGGATAGCCAACACTTTCGTTGATACTATAAAAAACATGGATAGCCAATAAAGTTAAAAAAACTAGTGGGGTGTATGGCATCGTGCCTTAAGGCAAATTGCTGGAACTTCCCGTACCGTAACGAAATGTTCGAGGAATACTGAATGTTTTCAAATAGATTATTATAAATATTGTAACATTGTCTAATATTTATAAGAATTATATAAAGTGAATTGCAAAGTTAAAATTACTTGTTTAAGTTATGTTAGAACTTTAAACATTGTAAATTGTCTGAAAATGTTGTAAAGTATCTGTAAATATTAAAGATTTTCTGAAAATGCTGTAAATTATTTGAAAATGTTATAAATTGTCTGAAAATGTTGTAAGTTGTTTAATAATGATGTCTAAAAATGTTGCATTTTGTCTGAAGATGTTGTAAGTTGTCTAAAAATGTTGTAAATTGTCTGAAGATATTGTAAAGTATCTGTAAATATTAAAGATTTTCTGAAAATGCTGGAAATTATTTGAAAATGTTATAAATTGTCTGAAAATGTTGTAAGTTGTTTAATGATGATGTCTAAAAATGTTGCATTTTGTCTGAAGATGTTGTAAGTTGTCCAAAAATGTTGTAAATTGTCTGAAGATGCTGTAAAGTGTCTGTAAATATTGAAGACAGCTTGAAAATACTGCAAATTATTTGTAAATGTTATAAATTGTCTAAAGTTGTTTAATAATGATGTCTAAAAATGTTGCATTTTGTCTGAAGATGCTGTAAGTTGTCCACAAATGTTTTTAATTGTCTGAAGATGTTGTAAAGAGTCTGTAAATATAAAAGTCTGCTTGAAAATGTTGTAAATTATTTAAAAATGTTATAAATATTGTAACATTGTCTAATATTTATAAGAATTATATAAAGTGAATCGCAAAGTTAAAATTATTTGTTTAAGTTATATTAGAATTTTAGTCAGAATCAAAATAAAATCTGAATTATTTTCGATATACAAAAACACTAAAAAAAAAAAAATTATACGAATTTTTTTTTTCCAAAATCAATTATTTTGTTAAGACGTTCTTTGTAAACTTAAAAAGTTCTTTGAATCATTTAAATCGGACGCTTAGTTCTCTCAAAAACTGCCATTTTTCACATATTTAGCTCCGTATCTTCGAAATGGCTGGGCCTGCCTTTGCCAAAAACTAATAAACACTTCTCCCAATCATTACTAATTGAATGTTTTTTGGATCATTCAAATCGGATACTCCGTGTTCTCAAAAACTCGATTTGTATCTTCTGCACTCTTTGCTTCGTATCTCCGAAACGACTGGACCTGCCTTTGCCAAAAACTAATCAGCACATCTCCCTATAAATAAGAATCGAATGTTTTTTTAACCATTCAAATCGGTTGATCCGTGCGCCCGAAAACGTGAACAAAAAATTGTATCCATACATACATACACACACACATCCATTTTTCTGAAGTATGCCAAAATGTTCAGAAACCTTCAAAACGTTAAGAAATGTAAAAATTTTCAATTTCGATTTTTGGACGATTACAATAACTTACCCTACGGGAAGTTAATAAGAGAATCTGAAATAAAAAATATTAAGAGAACCATGTGTTTTTTTCTACTAAATAAAAATCCTCTATCACAATAGAATTTTTTATTGAATAATCCTTTCATAGATTTATGCATAACAAACGAAATATTGTGAAATATAAATAACACAATGTCTCTAGCTCTTAATATAATAAATTCGCTTCGAATCCTCAATATATTCTACAATATCTCTTCAAAGTTTAATTTTAAATCATTCATGGCATCTAAAACATAACGAAGATATATTTTTATTCTCGCAAAATATATTGGAAACTGAAGGAGAACTCTATACAAATTTTAAAAGAGTAATAGATTGAGAGGATCAATGAAGAAATGAGTCGTCAAAAACAAAATATGTATTGAGCTTCAAACAAACAATCCACAATAGTAATAAGAAACACAAAAAGGTTTTTAAACAATTATAATTTAATCTCAACGTTTTCAGAACTATGTACATTCCATCTTCAGGACATTTGTCAACATGATCTTGATCAGAAAATAAACCAAACAAAATGTATAAATAAATTGTATATATAAAAATTACTTAAAGTTGTAAATAAAAGAAACATTAAAAATAAAATAAAAACAGTTGTTATAAAATAAAAATGTTAAAAAGAGTGGGAATAAATAATAATTTTTAAATAAAAGCCTTTTGGTCTATATTACTTATTGGATTGCTTCTTTTAAGCTCAATATATATATATATATATATATATATATATATATATATATATATATATATATATATATATATGTAAACATTAAATCATTTTACCTCGATCTCCTCAAACCTACTACCCTCCTTTCCTATATATTAAAATCATTCTTTATCCTTTATTATAAATAATTAAGTACGATGATATTTGTCTCTTGTCTTCACTGAACCCATCCAGCAGGCACCCACAGGGGTTCCGTCTCCGCTCTCCTGGCTGCCTGCAGCAGTCTCTCGAAAGACACAGCTAGATCACCATTGACCACGCGCTCGTCGAACTGGTGACCGTGCAGGAATTCTATCCTTTGGGAGGAGCGTATCATCTCTCGGAGCTCTTCGTCCTGGGAAAAGGATAAGTAGAGACAAAAATGTGGTAACAGAATAGCTCATTAGATATTATATTAAATATTATGCTTTGATTTTTTTAATTTTGTTACTTATTTAATTTTTATAATTATTTATTACCGTGAATCCTCTAGAATTGGTTTCATCGAATGTGGACTTTGCTCTCATTGCTGCTCGAGTCTCACGTAGTTCTTCAAACTGTGGGGGCTCTATGAATACTATATAAGGCTTCAATTGGGGAGTTCTCAGCATTTTTAAAGCTTGGTAGTGTGGACTGAGGACACAGACAAATCCTAAAAATGAGAAAACAAAGGGGATAAATGATAGTTAAATTTGTGTATCTACTTTATTATAAATTGTCTGAAAATGTTGTAAGTTGTTTAATAATGTTATTTAAAAATGTTGCATTTTGTCTGAAGATGTTGTAAGTTGTCTAAAAATGTTGTAAATTTATCTGAAGATGCTGTAAAGTGTCTGTAAATATTGAAGACTGCTTGAAAATGTTGTAAATTATTTGAAAATGTTATAAATTGTCTGAAAATGTTGTAAGTTGTTTAATAATGATGTCTAAAAATATTGCATAAATGTTGTAAATTGTCTGAAGATGCTGTAAAGTGTCTGTAAACATTGAAGACTGCTTGAAAATATTATAAATGATGTGAAAATATTATAAATTGTCTGAAAATGTTGTAAGTTGTTTAATATTGATGTCTAAAACTGTTGCATTTTGTCTGAAGATGTTGTAAGTAGTCCAAAAATGTTGTAACTTGTCTGAAGATGCTGTAAAGTGTCTGTAAATATTGAAGATTGCTTGAAAATGCTGTAAATTATTTGAAAATGTTATAAATTGTCTGAAAATGTTGTAAGTTGTTTAATAATGATGCCCAAAAATGTTGCATTTTGTCTGAAGATGTTGTAAGTTGTCCAAAAATGTTGTAAATTGTCTGAAGATGCTGTAAAGTATCTGTAAATATTGAAGATTGCTTGAAAATGTTGTTAATTATTTAAAAATGTTATAAATTGTCTGAAAATGTTGTAAGTTGTTTCATAATGATGTCTAAAAATGTTGCATTTTGTCTGAAGATGTTGTAAGTTGTCCAAAAATGTTGTAAATTGTCTGAAGATGCTGCAAACTGTCTGTAAATATTGAAGACTGCTTGAAAATGTTGTAAATTATTTGAAAATTTTATAAATTGTCTGAAAATGTTGTATGTTGTTTAATCATGATGTCTAAAAATGTTGCATTTTGTCTGAAGGTATTGTATGTTGTCCAAAAATTTTGTAAATTGTCTGCAGATGCTGTAAAGTGTCTGTAAATATCAAAAACTGCTTTGAAATGTTGTAAATTATTTAAAAATGTCATAAGTTATCTGAAAATGTTGTAAGTTGTTTAATAATGATGTCTAAAAATGTTGCATTTTGTCTGAAGATGTTGTAAATTGTCCACAAATGTTGTAAATTGTCTGAAGATGCTGTAAAGTGTCTGTAAACATTGAAGACTGCTTTAAAATGTTGTAAATTATTTAAAAATGTTATAAATTGTCCGAAAATGTTGTATGTTGTTTAATAATAATGTCTAAAACTGTTGCATTTTGCCTGAAGATGTTGTAAGTTGTCCAAAAATATTGTAAATTGTCTGAAGATTCTGTAAAGTGCCTATAAATATTGAAGAATACTTGAAATGTTGTAAATTATTTGAAATTGTCTGAAAATGTTGTAAGTTGTTTAATAATGATGTCTAAAAATGTTGCATTTTGTCTGAAAATGTTGTAAGTTGTCCAAAAATGTTGAAAATTGTCTGAAGATGCTGTAAAGTGTCTGTAAATATTGAAGACTGCTTGAAAATGTTGTAAATTATTTGAAAATGTTATAAATTGTCTGTAAATGTGGTAAGTTGTTTAATAATGATGTCTAAAAATGTTGCATTTTGTTGAAGATATTGTGGTTTGTCTGAAAATGTAGAAAGTTGTTTAAAAATGGAATAAATTGTTTGAAAATAATGTAGATTCACTTTAAAAGTTGTAGATTATCTAAAACTGCTGCAAATTATTCAAAATGTTATCTAAAAATGTTGTAAATTGTCTGAAAATACTGTGAACTGTCTATAAACGTTGTTAGTTTTCTTAAAATACTGTAGATCGTCTCAAAATATTGCAATTTGCTTAAAAATAATATAGATTGTCTCAAAATGCTAAAGGTTAATGTCTGAAAACAATGTTATCTTCTGACAATGATGTATATAGTTGTATTCTTATTGTGAAGTAATTTACAACATTTACAGCTTGATGTTAAGTACTAAAAGTAAATAAAATAAAGTTTGTCGTAAAGAACAACATGAGAGCACTGAAAATGAGTTGCTACGCCATCAGTTTCACTTCATCTACTCAGAAAAACTCAACACACTATTATTTTATTAGATTTTAATATATAAATATATATATATATATATATATATATATATTATTTACCTGCATTAACTAGTGACTTAACACTCTCTGCAGAAGTTCCATACAAATTTCCTTTGTATTCACCATGCTCGATAAACTTTCCTGCAGCAATATCCTCCTCCATTTTCTCTCTAGAGACAAACCAGTACTCTTTGCCATTTTCTTCACCTTGTCTTATTGCACGAGATGTATCTAAAATGATAATAGAAAGGTAAATAGAGAAATATATAAATTACATGTAAAAAGCTATCAGTAATAATAATAATAAATCATCCTTTATCCTTTCTACTTACACGGTATAGGTGTTTTATATTTCTCAACATCCGTAGCAATCAAACGCCTCTTCAGCTCGTTCCTGCCAACCCCAGGAGCTCCAACAAGCACCAGGGGCCTGTAAAGTCCTGCCCTTGGATACAATTTAGCCACTTCCTCATATGTGGCCACATGTTCTCTGTCGAAGTCATCACACTCTGCTGTATCGTACATTATTTTCTTAGTCTTGATAGTTTGCAAAGCACATGTGTCCACAGTCCGAGATGGACTGTTGCAGTTAGTAGTTGAGTTGAGGCGTGAAGGGTTAGAACAGGCTAACATGCTCGTGGGGAGGATCGAGGTTGATGTACAGAGCCCTGAGAGGAAGATGATGATGGTAGATGATAATAGATTAGATTATTAGTGATGAAGGCATGTGTAATCTAGTTGGAAATGACATTTTACCTTGTTATAAGTAACATGAACTAGATAAATGTAAGTAATCAAGTAAGCTGTCAGCTTGTCTGTTTACTAGTGTAACTATTTACTTCCATACCAGTCTATCTCTCTTTTCTTTTCCATCTATTTACCAATATACCTGTTTATCTGTATACCTGTCTCTACTTGCCTCCTGTCTAATTGTTAACCAGCCTACTTATTTATTAGTCTGCCAGTCTATCTGTCTACCTTTCTCTCATTCAACCAGATTATTTGTCTATCTTTCTCCTTCTCCACTTTTTTATCTGATTACTTGTCTACAATATACCTTTTTATCATCTGTCTACCTGTTTACCTCTCTATTTCCTCCTAATTGTTAACCAGCCTACTTATTTATTAGTCTGTCAGTCTATCTGTCTACCTTTCTTTCATTCAACCAGATTATTTGTCTATCTGTCTCATTCTCCACTTTTTTGTCTGATTACCTGATTACTTGTCTACAACCATTCCACGTTTATCTGTCTACCTAATTACCTGTCTACTTGCCTCTTGTCTTCCTGTCTTATTGTTAACCAGCCTACTTATTTATTAGTCTGCCAGTCTATCTGTCTACCTTTCTCTCATTCTATCAGATTATTTGTCTATCTTTCTCCTTCTTCACTTTTTTATCTGATTACTTGTCTACAATATACCTTTTTATCATCTGTCTACCTGTTTACCTCTCTATTTCCTCCTAATTGTTAACCAGCCTACTTATTTATTAGTCTGTCAGTCTATCTGTCTACCTTTCTTTCATTCAACCAGATTATTTGTCTATCTGTCTCATTCTCCACTTTTTTGTCTGATTACCTGATTACTTGTCTACAACCATTCCACGTTTATCTGTCTACCTAATTACCTGTCTACTTGCCTCTTGTCTTCCTGTCTTATTGTTAACCAGCCTACTTATTTATTAGTCTGCCAGTCTATCTGTCTACCTTTCTCTCATTCTATCAGATTATTTGTCTATCTTTCTCCTTCTTCACTTTGTTATCTGATTACCTGATTACTCGTCTACAATATACCTTTTTATCTGTCTACCTGTTTACCTCTCTATTTGCCTCCTAATTGTTAACCAGCCTACTTATTTATTAGTCTGTCAGTCTATCTGTCTACCTTTCTTTCATTCAACCAGATTATTTGTCTATCTGTCTCCTTCTCCACTTATTTATCTGATTACCTAATTACTTGTCTACAATATACCTGTTTATCTGTCTACCTGTATACCTCTCTACTTGCCTCTTGTCTAATTGTTATCCAGCCTATTTATTTTTCAGTCTGCCAGTCTATCTCTCTACCTTTCTCTTACTCTACCAGATTATTTGTCTATCTGTCTCCTTCTCCACTTCTTTATCTGATTGCCTGATTACTTGTCTACAATATACCTGTTTATCTGTCTACCTGTTAACCTCTCTCCTTGCCTCCTGTCTAATTGTTAACCAGCTTACTTATTTATTATTGTGCCAGTCTATCTGTCTACCTTTCTCTCATTCTACCAGATTATTTGTCTATCTGTCACCTTTTCTATGTTTTTATCTGATTACCTCTGATTACTTATCTACCTGCCTACCTGTATAAATGTTTACCTGACTAGACGTTCATCTATTTGCCAATAATTCTATTAAATTTGGATAAATCATTTGTAAAAATCATAAATGTGATTTTTTTCTGCATCTGCAAAATCGCTGGACCTGCATTAGTAAAATATTTTTTGAATCCATTAAGTTGATCGCTCCATTCACTTAAAACCTGTTATTTTTTATAATTTTTGATCTGTACCTCTGAAACGGCAGATCCTGCCTTAGATAAAAACTAATCAACACTTCTCTCCAACAATATATTTCTAACAATCTATTTCTATAGAAATCGATGTTTTTTGAATCACTCAAATCGGCTTACCCGCGCTGTCGAAATTGTGCATGAAAAATTGTATCCACACATCCATACACACACTCATTTGTTTGGTTATTATATGATAAATAAATATGTAGATGATATGAGAATGAATTCACAAGTAGAGTTAATTTATATTAGATTTATATGTTGTTCGTTATTAAAGAATATGATTAGTTAATGATGCAATGCAAATAAACCATGATTTATAGACATTAACAGTCTATAAAAGACTTTTTTTAAATTTCAATTTTGGTTGCAACTGTTAAAAAAATTATCCAGTAACATTTTAGATAATTTTGATCAGAAAACAATAAAAAATAAATTATAGCGTTTCCATTGAATTTTCATCAATATGATAACAATATGAAACAATATAAATTTTTACAACAAAAAAAGTTAAAACATAAAAATAAAAATAACAATAATAGGAATAATAGTAATTCATAATATCAAAAAAACCATAATAATTATAAAAATAATATTAGTAATAATAATAACAATTATGAATAACAAAGTTAATGAAAAAAATAAAAATAAAGTAATAAAAAGTGCATACATTCTAGTTTGAATAATTACAAAAGCCACTAACTTTTATTACTCAGTCAATTACATTTTTGCTGTGCAGTTTGCACGAGAAAATTCTAAAACTCCTACTATTGTATATAAATAGTCCTACATACCATGTGCATCTACATCAGCATGTCTTTGTTCGCTTCTCTCATGAAGGACTCTACGTTCTTGTAAGGCTCTGCTTGGTATTAATCCTGCACGCATATTTTTATCACCTAAAATATACAATAAACATATTAGAGGTTATGGATTTTGTTATACATTTGCTTTTAGAAAAATATAGGATAATAAGAAATCTAAAATCATCTGAAAAAATAATCCATTTTTAAAAAACTTAGTTAAAAAGAACACCATTTATGTCAACAAATTACCATATTCATTAATCATTAAAAGTAGTACTTAATAAAAATAGTGATAGTTTAATATAAGTTTACACAATAAGGCTGTAAGGCTATACTACATTTTGGTTTCTGTTTATTTGTTACTAAAATAAATGATTAAAATAAGCTTTAGTATCAATTAAGAATTAATACTCAATTAAAATCAAATTGAATCACTTTGTTTATTTCCTTTCTTTTTTTCATACCTTCCCTTCTGGCTTGCCACCAATAAGCATCATCCTGAGAAACAATATGTAATATAGTGCCTCGCTCAAAAGCCAATCCTGCTTCTTTACAAGGTATATAAGGATCTTCACTAGGAACATAGTCAAAATGTGCCCTAACACGCACCTAAAACAAACCAAAAATAATAAAAAAAGCCAAAATATTATATGATAGTAGTAATATTATAAGAAAAATCCAAAATACTATATGATAAAAATAATATTATATGAAAAATCCAAAATACTATATGATAGTAGTAATATTATATGAAAAATTCAAAATATTATATGATATTAGTAATTGATTTTTATATTTTGCTCACCTTGCTTTCTCGTAGACCCATTTTGCCATCTGCTGGTACTAATTTAAATGTTATTGTACCTTCTGAATTTTGCTGAAAATTAAAATACTTTAGTAATAGATAATAAAAATATTACTAATTAATAGTTGTCAGATCATTTGAATAATAAAAGTAAAGAGCTGTAAGAAAAACAATTAAAATTAAATAAGATCTATATAAAGAAAACTGGATTGGATACATAATTCCATCAAAAAAACAAAAGAACTGAAAAGATTCTTATGAAAGATAAATGTAAATAATCAACAGTCTTATACAAGAATAAAATTTCAGAAGATTAAAATCAAAGATCAAATTTTAGAAGTAGAGTACAAACAAGTCTAGATAAATAAATAAACTGGCCTTGTCTTCAATTATTACTATTATTACTATTATTATCATTATATATTTTCCTTACCAGTATTGTAAGTACATCTGCCGGAGTCTTCCCTTCAACATTAATATTATTAACTTCAACAACCTCATCTCCTACATGAATAAGTCCTGATCTGTCGGCAGCACCGCCATGCATTATTCTTGCTATTACTATTTTGCCTGACTCTTCATCCATTTTAATTGTAGCACCCTGGATAAATAGAAAAATGATTAAAACAAAATTAAGTATTTTTTATAATATACAGATATGAAATATTAGATTTTAAACTAATAATATTATTCATCACAATGCTTTCTAGAATTCTAGTACTTTATTTAAATCTTTAATTGTAAAATATGAAATTTGAATATTATTCTTATTATGTATATTTTTAAACAATAATGATATAATACTTATTACTAAATACTAAAATAAATTTTAAAAATACTACAATATATATATTACTAATACGTCGAATTGAAAAAAATAAATAAATATAGACAAACATTTATTTATACATTTCCACACTAGATGTGTGTCATCATTCAGATAAAAATTCTACAAAATATTGAATGAATATCGTAACAATAAAATAATTTGTAAATTGAATTAAAATACTGTGTACCAACTAGGAGAAGGGCTTCATAATATAAAGATGCTCATAATATAATATAAAAACACAAAATTATAGAAATTTAATTGAATTAGTTTCAAATTTACCGGCTACACAAAATGACTAAAACAAGCTTCAGTAAATCTTCTAAGGTGTACATTTTATCTTTATTTAGAATGACAGCACAGTTTGTATTAAAATTAGAATTAAATTCTGAATCGTTTGAACTTTTAGAATTACAAATATGTTAATTCTTGAAAATATTTTGAAAACTTTTCCCTACATAACAAACACCGCAATCATTGCAATTTGCATTACAAACTTTACATGAAATTTTATTTGTAGGTGCATATGTTTATTTATTTTTTATAATTCAACAATTATTAGAAATACAATATATGTTTTTATTTATACATATCAAAAGGTTAAATTTTTAATCAAGCATAAGACTAATGAAGGAGCACCAATTTTACTCGTCTCAGATTTATGTGATATAATAATAATAAATGATCTTAAAATGATATAAAAGGAAACCTAAACAATAAATTAATAATATAAATAAATTAAACCACTTATTATTTATATTATTAAAATTATATCAAATTTCATAGACTTTTTTCATGTTTATAAGTCCGATCTAGACGAATAAATTTGACTTATATATATTAGATGGTAGAGTCTTGAATTTGTAAACAATTTGTAGAGCTTCAAACAAATAATCTAAAAAGTAATAAAAAACAAAAAAGATTGAATTACAAAATTTGTTTTTTCGTCTGAAAATAAATTTATAAAATCACTTTTTTTGATGAAAACTTTTTTAGTGAAAAAGTGTTAGTGTATAATCAATCATATAGATAATTAATTCTGTTTTTTCAGTACCCTTTTTTAAAACTTTCTAAAACTCCCTAATTTTTTAACATTTTTAATATTTTGTTATACCATCCACTCATTTATTTTTATCATTTTCATTTTGATTATATTGTCATATTTCTGTACATTATTTTTTCAACAATGGTATTCATTAAATATAAAAAAAATCCATCATCTTCTACTTTTCTTAAACATATTGTTTGCTTAAAACTTATCAAGATCATGTTTTTTAACAGATATCATAAAGATGGAACGTACCTAGTTCCGAAACGTCGACAGTAAATAAAAAAAAAATGGATTTTTAAAAAACTTGTTTTGTTTTTTATTACTTTTTGGATTCTTTGTTCGAAGCTCTACAATATATATATATATATATATATATATATATATATATATATATATATATATATTATTTTTATACAAACATCTACACAAAGTATTAATCGAGCTTACCACGATAGGCTCGCTGCCTTGCCCTCCAGTCTATAGGCAAGCCATAAAATAAATACTTATATATAATTAAAAACATTTTACACTAAAACATACTACAAAAATTTATAATAGTCATAAAAAATACATTCTACATTGTACATACAGTAGAAATAAACTGATTCTCTATCAATACTTATTTATCATAATAAGTACTTTCAATGTATTTTTTATGAATAAATTTTAAAGAACTAATTTTAAATAAGGTAAAATGTTATAACTATAGAAAAATTCACACTACACACTATATTATATATATATATATATATATATATATATATATATATATATATATATTGGATTTACCATCGGTTCATTGCTCTTAACAAGTTGTACAATCTTAATCGTCTCTTCATCCTCATCAACTTCTAAAGGAATATCTGGCAAATGAGGATAGTAGTCTTTTTGAGCAACTGCATCGTGGGCACATAATAAACCCTATATTACAAAAAATAGATCAATGATAATAATTTATTATTTATGATATAAATAGAAATATAAATGTAATTTTTATATGAATATATGATGATGAGTACAGACAGATTATAAGCAGGATTAAAATAAATAATTTATTTAACTAAATGTAAAGGCATGATATAAAAGCACTAAATACAATAATCTATATTTCTCTATCTATATATAATGTGTTAGTAATTATACTTATAAGTAAAATAAAACAACACTTACTAAAATACTTAATCGCAACCTCTTCAACATCACAAATGTTTTTTTTAATTAATACTATAATTTGTCAATTTACTATTAAAACTACACATGCACTATTATTGTAAAACAATTTGCTTGTTTTGATATTCTAATACTAGTTTTTTTTTTCAAATATTCGGAAATAAAGATAATGGTCACGTTAGAAGGTCAGAGCTAACCTTGACCTACGTTTTGATAAATTTACAGTTTAAAATGATTTTTAATCAATATTATATAATTTATTCCTGTGACTTCGCACACAAGAAAGCTTCTGACCAAAATCCTTGATCCTAAAGATTGAGCAGCACATGAGCAAAGACCATTTTGGTTTCAGAAAAACAAAGAGGCACCAGAGACGCCATTGGATTTTTAAGGATAATTTTGGATAGATGTCTCGATTTTAATGAAGAAATCTGCTTCTGCTTCATAGATTGGCAGAAAGCCTTTGACAGAGTGATTTGGAAAACACTTATGGGAATTTTAGAAGCTATTGGCATCGATTGGAGAGACCGCAGGCTGATCCTGAATCTTTATTTGTTATAGAAAGTTAAGGCTGGAGTGAATCAATCAGTTTGGTTTTAGAAAAGGAAGAGGCACCAGAGACGCCATTGGAGTTTTAAGGATAATGTCGGATAGATGTCTCGATTTTAATGAGGGCATCTGCTTCTGTTTCATAGATTGGCAGAAAGCATTTGACAGTGTGAATTGGAATACACTTATGAGAATTTTAAAAGCTATTGGCATCAGGAGAGACCGCAGGCTGATCCTGAATCTTTATTTGTTATAGAAAGTTAAGGTTGGAGTGAATCAAGCAGTTTGGTTTTAGAAAAGGAAGGGGCACCAGAGACGCCATTGGAGTATTGAGGATAATGTCGGATAGATGTCTCGATTTTAATGAGGGCATCTGCTTCTGCTTCATAGATTGGCAGAAAGCCTTTGACAGAGTGATTGGAAAACACTTATGGGAATTTTAGAAGCTATTGGCATCGATTGGAGAGACCGCAGGCTGATCCTGAATCTTTATTTGTTATAGAAAGTTAAGGTTGGAGTGAATCAAGCAGTTTGGTTTTAGAAAAGGAAGAGGCACCAGAGACGCCACTGGAGTTTTAAGGATAATGTCGGATAGATGTCTCGATTTTAATGAGGACATCTGCTTCTGCTTCATAGATTGGCAGAAAGCCTTTGACAGAGTGATTTGGAAAACACTTATGGGAATTTTAGAAGCTATTGGCATCGATTGGAGAGACCGCAGGCTGATCCTGAATCTTTATTTGGGATAGAAAGTCAAGGTTTGAGTAAATCAAAGAGATAAAAAAGCGTTCAAATATGGAGAGGAGTGCGGCAAGGATGCTGTATGTCACCCATTCAATCTGTATGGAGAATGGCTCCTCAACAAGGCACTTGAAGGCGCAGAAGATTTTTAGATTGGAAGAAGAAGAATCACCACCATAAAGTATGCTGATGATCTAGTGGTGATATCAAAAAACCAAACACCGAGCAGCAAAACATGATGTGCAGAATGGTTGAAGTGGGCAGAAGATACGGAATGCTGTTCAACATCGATAAATCGAAAGTGATAAGAGTATCAAAACGAAATGATCCTCTGAAGATAACAGTAGAAAATCGAGAATTGGAAGACGTTGATCATTTCAAATATTTAGGAAACATTCTGACCAGAGACGGATACTGCACGGGAGAGATCAGGACAAGGATCGCAAGTGCCAAGGCGGCGTTCAGGAAGAAGAGAACGCTACTGACAAAAAACTAAATCTCTACTTGCGCAAGAGACTGATAAAATGCTATGTCTGGAGCATAGCTCTGTATACATGAACTCTAAGAAAAGCCAACAAGAACTATTTGGAGAGCTTTGAAATGTGGTGGTGGAGGCAAATGGAGAAAATAAAGTGGACTGACAAGACAACAAATGAAGAAGTCCTGAGAAGAGTGGGCAAAGAAAGGACTCTACTGAGCATGATCCTGAAAAGAAAAGGAAACTGGATCGGACCCATTCTGCAAAAGAGTGCCTCCTACACGACGTCGTCAAAGGCAAAATAGAAGGACTGTGAGAATTGGGAATAAGAAGAATGCAGTTGGTTGATGACTGTAGTAATACAGAAAACTGAAAGCAAAAGCACAGGATCAGGAAGCATGAAAGCAGAAGTTTGGAAAGGAAAATTCATAAAAATGAATATAAAGTGATTAGTGGTCATTAATTAATGGTAATGAAACGGTAATGGGGATAATAAACAAGAGAGGGGAAATAATCATCGATTTTGCGGTGCTCTCATATCATGGACCTGCATTCGGGCAGACTACTATTTATCATTATTGTTATTATTATTATATAATTTATGGTAACAAAAATGTTACAAAAAAAATCATGCACCTTTAGATTAATCTACTATTTCCAATATTTATTATCATACTGAATAACCAACTCTTGCAAAAACTTAGCGATGTGCCGACTCGATATCGAAATTTCCAAAAAAACAATTTATTTTTCAAGGGTTCTCCATCCCTAACCTTTTTTTTAATTAAATTTCGGAATCAATTTTTTTTTAATTTTAGATTTCATAATGAGGAATTGAAATATACCTACAACTCTAAATTTTTACCCTCCTACCACAAATCCCTATTTCATAATAGTCATTTTAGTAGAGTCCAATCACTTTTCACGAAGTTCGATAACTATTTTTTTCTTTGTGAAAATTTTCCACTAAATTTGATATCAAGATTTTTCTGAGCTTATTCGAAACATTTTCAAAACAATTCTTAGATTGGGCAATGGAAAGGTCAACATAGATAAAACTAATTGGGTTAAGATATTGTTTAATTCATAATCAGGATTATCCTATTGTCAAAATATTTCCCAATGTGCTCAAGCAGTGGTTTCCAACCTTTTTTGCACCGTGTCCCACCACTCTAATGAATAAAATTGTTAAAAAATTAAGGGAAAATTTTTTCAACAATTTAATTTTGTAAATACTTAACTAATATTATCAGACAGACAAATTAACACATATGCATAAATCAGTCAACATATGCATAAAAACTAACTGATTTTTGTTTATTTTTTTATATCACTGCAAAATTTTGGATCATTTCCCAAAATAGTATTCTAGAAATGCGCCCCCCTTAAAACAGCCTGGCGTTTATCTGGAGGGGCAGGCCTACTGGTTGAAAACCACTGACTTAGTTCATAAATGGGTTGCAGAAAAAACAATTTTAGCAAAAAAAATTGAATATTAAAATCAAAAGATATAAATATATAATACAACAGTTTTTAGGAGGAACCTATTTACCATAAAAACCAAAGCTGTAAATTTTCCACAAAGTTTTTGAATTCTCATTCATTCGAGAAGTATGCACATCATATTTTGAAAATGAATTTGTAGTTCAGATTTTGGTTCGTAATTTAAAAATAAATGAATTAACAAAAAATATATATCAAAACCTTGAATCTCCAACAATTCAATTTGAATAAAATCAGTTTCAGATCATGCTAGCAATGACTATCATAATGCCCCATGATAATTTATATGTGGCATGCGTTGCAGTGGGTCAACCATCCATATAAATTTCGCTAACCTTTCCTAACCTAAATACCACGTGCTTCTACATCCAAAATTAGTTAGTTAGATAGTTAATTATACTAAAAATTTCTAGAAATAATTGCAAACAATAAATAATGTTTACTGGGTCAGCTAGTATATATTTATATACATATATTAGGTTGTCAAATATCTCCCTTCCGCTTTTATATATATATATATATATATATATATATATATACCAGCTGACCCGGTAATTTATTTATAACTCGCCATCAAGTTCATGCAAGTTCATTCAAATCAAGTAAAACCTGATTCAAATCAGTCTATTAAAAGTTTGATTCGAGTGATTCAAATGAGCACATCCCAACTAAAACTTCTAAAAACATTACACCCCCATGCAATTACCATCACCCCCCGTTACCTGAACATGTGGTGTCTGTAACAGATGAAACAATTCTTTACAATCGGATGAGACATGACACCTCTGAGCAAGCATATCGAGCACCTCTAAAGCTATTTGCATAGAAGTCGATAGCATTGGAAAGAACTTATCGTCTTTTCCATTTGCTATGATTTTGTTATGTACCGTCACCAAAGCATTTAGTTCTTTCGATTGTAATAACTCACTCAGGAAATTTATCTCTTCAACTGAATGCAGAGACGTGGCATCCTTCAAGGAGTTTAGGAGCTTTGAAAGCGCTGAAATGGAAAGAAGACAAGTGAATGGAATGGAAATGGAAATAGATTTACATACAATACATATATTATGTACACAATAAGAATTATAAATTGAACATGAAGTGAAACTTCTAATGAGCAATGTGGTAAATTGTTTTAAACTGCTGTAGATTGTCTGAAAATGTTGTGGATTGTATGAAAATATAGTAGATTATATAAGAATATTGAAAATTTAGTAAATGAGATTGTCTGATAATGTTGTAAATTGTCTCAAAATGTTGTAGCTTGACTGATAATGTCGTAGCTTGTCTGATATTGTAAATTGTCTTAAAATGTTCTGGTTAAAAACTGGCTTAAAATGTTGTAGATAGTCTCAAAATGCTGTAGATTGTCTGATAATGTTGTAAATTGTCTCAGGATGTTGTAGCTTGACTAATGTTGTAGCTTGTCTGAGAAGGTTGTAGGTTGTCTAAAAGTGCTGTATTTTGTCTCAAAATATTGTGAGTTGTCTAATAATGTTATAAATGGTCTAAAAATGTTGTAAATTATCTCAAAATGTTGTAGCTTGACTGATAATGTTGTAGCTTGTCTGATAATTTTGTAGATTGTTTAAAAGTGTTGTAGCTTGCCTTGCAAGGGTTGTAGGCTGGCTGAAAAGAAAATGTTGTAAATTATCTGATAAAGTTGTAAATTGTCTCAAAATATTGTAGCTTGACTGATAATTTTGTAGCTTGACTGATAATGTTATAGCTTGTCCAAATAGGTTGTAGGTTGTCGGAAAATGTTGTAGATAATAGCCTGATAATATTGTAAATTATCTCAAAATGTTGTAGATTGACTGATAATGTTGTAAATTGTCTGAAAAGGTTGTAGGGTGTCTGAAAATGTTTTAAAGTATTTAATAATGTTGTAAGTTGTCTGTAAATGTTGTAGATTGTCTGATAATATTGTAAATTATCTTAAAATGTTGTAGCTTGACTGATAATGTTGTAGCTTGTCTGATAATGCTGTAGATTGTCTAAAAATGTTGTTAATTGTGTGAAAATGTAGTAAGGTGTCTGCAATTGTTGCAGATTGTCTGATAATGTTGTATATGATCTCAAAATGTTGTAGCTGGTCTGATAATGTTGTAGATTGTCTAAAATGGTTTATAAATGATGTTTATTGTCCAATAATGTTGTAAATCATCTAAAAATTAGCTTGTCTGAAAATGTCGTAGATTGTCTGAAAATTTTGTAGATTGACTGAAAAAGTTGTCTAAAGATGTTCTTAATTATCTGAAAATATAGTAAAGTATCTGAATTTGTGGCAGATTTTCTAATAATGTTGTAACTTGTCTTAAAGTAGTTTTTGCAAGAAATATTGCAAATGTAGAACTCGCAAAGCATTTCTTGCCTTACTTTAAAATATAATAGTTATATTTTAAGCAACAAAAGCCATAAACGTTTGTCTTAAAGAAATAATATGAGTTCACAAACATTTTACAATTATTTTTTGTGAAAGTGCCGAATATATAAACAATTAGATGTTTCTAATTCCTCTTTTCTATGACTTTAAATATGTTGAAACTAAGTAAGTCTACAAAGGTTATCAAAACATGGTTTTTGAATTAAATCAACATTTCTAAGCCTAAACATTGAATTTTGTATCTATAGCAAACATAATCTTAAAGTTCTCATCATTATTATTAACATTTTGCAAAGTTTCTTCAATTGACAACCTAAACTACACATAGATTTAATTAACAAAACAATTATACCATCTATTCTGTTCAAAATTTAAAATTTTTATTGAAACAATTAATGCAAAACAGATTTATGCACACCTTTTTGCATATTTGAATCCCTTTACAAATTAGGTTTATTAATCGAATTGCTATAAAGGTTCACTTCAATAATTTATACACTAGTATTAAAATTACGAATTACTATATACTTTTTTACAATACAAACTTTCACAATCACGATGTATTTATAATTATTTCTCTGGACTAATATAATAATAATCTTGATTTAAGTTTTTGTACTCACACTTAGGTTCTCGAAACCTCTTTTATAAAACATTCAATATTTTTAGCATGAAAAAATAAAGAATATTAGTTAAATTTGGACCACAAATCACTCATGGTAAAAAAAACTATACAAAAATATAATTTTCTTGGATTTTCTGGTGAATTTAGATATTAGATGGAAGATTCTGGTATATTTAGAACTTCTGTAAAAGTTCTTAGCCTCAATTCTGTTACTTATTTAGCAAAATATAATATGTATTGTCGAGTAGATGTTACAAAAACCATTGTTTAATTAATTTTGCTCAAGAATTTATGGTCTCAAATACTTAATCCTGAAGGCATTATTAAATGTAGCATTTGCTTCTTTCAAAAGTAATTGTTGAAATGTTTACTTTGCCTAAAATATATGATAATTAGTATAATAATGATGAATTACTTGTGAAATTTATAGAAGCATCTTTTTCCATGGATTTCTTGGTAATTCAAAATATTAATTTTAATTGTTGAAATGGTTTTTTTGTTAAAATATATGATAATTAGTATAATAACAATAAATTACTCATAACTATAAAATCTATACAAGCATCTTTTTGTCACAGATTTGTTGGTAAATCAAAATATTGGTTTTAATTGTTGAAATGTTTTCTTTGCCTAAAATATATAATAATTAGTATAACGATAAATCACCCATGGCTGTAAAATCTATACAAGCATCTTTTTGTCAAGGATTTCTTGGTAAATCAAAATATTGGTTTTAATATTTAAATATCTGTAAAGGTTTGTAACATCTTTGTGATACTTTGATAAAATTTGATATGTATCTACTCGACACATTTTACAACATCCTTTGATCAATGGTCTCAACCAAATATTTGATTCTGAATGCATTAATAAATATAGTATTTGTGTCTATAAAAACTAATCAGTTATGTTTTCTTTGCCAGTTTATACCTAAAATATATAATAATTAGTATATTGGTATCGGTTACCCCAAATTCGAGAATAGTATGTGTGTGCATAAGTAATTTTTCATATAGCAAGCTAAGTCTTTTGTCTCAGTATATCAGTATATAAACAGCAATCAATTTTCTGCACATTTTATCAAAAATATACTTTAATTTTACCAATTGTACCCTTCGAAAGATCCTTAACACCTGTCTCACGTATATATTCAACATTTTCACTCAAAATAATAAAATTATCACTAAAACTCATAATAAATCAAACAATTCTTTACCCGGGTCCCAATTTGATGAATGAGGCATAACTTCTGCTGTCATTATTAAAAACAGCTAAAAGACACTTTTATTATTAAAATGTCAATTTAGTTATTGTATTTATTATAATATTTTCATTTTAATTGGTTATTTTAAAGCACCAGATATGGGACATAAGTATTTTTAGATTAGCCAGAGTTACCTTGTGTAATAGTATAGGAAACAAATATAATAGATTTTGGCATTATTCCAAAATTTCGAAAACGTTTGCAAATTTGAATTTTGGATTTTATTGTATTTTTTTTATTACAAAGTGTTTTAAGGTAATTTGATTATGAGTTTAGTTGGTGTTGGTTTATTTTTTTTGGATTTTGTAATACACTTAATATTATGTGAAGGAGGTTATTGATGTTTCGAGTTAATTAATCGGTTTTGTTTCAGTTTTAATTAATAGTTTTGAATATTTCACTCATTATTTATTAATTATTAAGAACGAAAACATTGGGCAGGCGAAAGAGACGATAAATGTCATATAATATGCATGGGGTTGCCAGATGCGAAATATTTTAGAATAGGAAAATGGTAGAAAAATGAATAATATTCATTAACAAAAATGTATTTAAAAAAAAGTATTTAACAGGGCTTAATTTTATTCACTTTTGTTATCGGTATTATTAATCAATTTAATTAAATGTATTTTGAAAATGCATTTGTGGGTTGTTTTATTGTATTGCAAACTAGGTCTTTTGTCTGGGTATGTTGGCCTAAATAATACCAACTAAAACCTCAGTTTATCTCTTGCCTCTTGTCCCCACCGCCGTTTAAGCATTACTTTATGGGGGAGGCTCTAGAACTCCACAATCCTCACTTCTAATTAATTTTTTGTCCAAAATTGTGTATGTGTTTTTTTTTTGTATAGCGATGGAAATGCTTTTATGCATTCCAGACTGGTGTTCTGTCTGGCTATGTCGAACTCAATACCGCCCTGGTATAATACCGACTAAAACCTCCGCTTTGCCCTTGCCTCTGGTCCCCACGAAAACAGCCTTTAGGCATCACTTCGTGGGGGAAGGATCTAGAATGTTATAATTCTTAACTTGTTATAATGAATGTTATAATTCTTAAACATACTCATCATTTAAATGGGCGAAGTCCCATTTGCCCTTTCTCTTTCCATAGAACGCAATTGCGTATGTGTGTGTGCATGTGTTTGTATGTTTGTATGTGTGGGTATATAGTAGTCCAGTAATTTAAGCTAAAATTAGGAAAGAATCTTGGAACTCGAGATACCCAGCTGTAAGCCTGTAAATACTTGTATATTGACACCTACATGTGTATTTACAGACTTACAGCTGGGTGTCTCGAATTCCGAGGTAAACTCACTATAATGACTAGACTATAAGCCAAAAGTTGACTCTACGTCGACGCTTTCTCGAAAATGGCAGCAACGATTTCAGAAATTCACAGTCACAAAGAATTCACAAATTATACTTATTTATCTATGTGTATGGCCATTAATTTTAAGTCATTGTTTATAATCTGACCTAATTATTTCATATTTTCCCAACGTTTTAAGTCATTCTGAATCGTTTGACTCTAAAATTTGTAAGTAGTATGTGTGGCTGTTTTGTTTTGTATAACAAACTAGGTTTTTTGTCTGGGTATATTGAACTCAATAAAATAATACCAGCTAAAACCTCATTTTACCTTTCTAACTTTGGGCCAAAATCTTGAATCGATTTTGAAAATTTAAATAAACCAACATTTATATAAAGTTGAATGGTTAGTGAATACTATTATAAAATTTCAAAAAAGTTATAGAGCTCTAATTATGTTTATGGTGTATATTGCCCAATAATGTTGTAAATTGTTTAAAAATCCTGTAGCTTGTAAAATAAGGTTGTAGACTACTCTTCTTTTATCTATGGTTGTAGAATTTCTGAAATTGTTAAAAGTTATCTGAAAGTGTTGTAGGTTTGTCTAAAAATGTTGTAAGTTATCTCAAAATGTTGTAGATTATCACATAATATTGCAAATTGTCTATAAATGGTGTATATTGCTCATTTATATTGTAAATTGTCTTCAGAAGTTGTAGTTTGTCTGAAAATGTTGTAGGTTGTCTACAAAAGTGATTGAATTATAAAAGTTTATCAAAATTAGGATTGTACTACATTATATACTATAATTAATCAAATTACGCTATTATTAAATTAAGTCTATCAATTAAAAATTATATGCATTAGTTTCCAATAAAAACGAAAAAAAAAATTTCAAAATAAACAACTTCACACTGCTTAAGTCGTTTTCTTTACACGTATCAAAAGGTTCAAGCAATTTTGTGATTTAATTTTTTTTGTGAATTAAATATATAAGTACTTCATATTTAAATATGATTTAAATAACGATTTCTTAAATCCTTTACAAAGTGCAGACAGAACAGACCACATTCCATATATGTCAAATTAGTGTTGCCATATCCAAACCGGCACTGAACGTAGTTCGAGAAGTTGCTGACTTTTGTTCCGTCGCGTAGTAAGCCGAGTTGAACCTGTTTCATTTGTTTACACGTATAAACGGGTTAATAAAATAGTTATAATAATTTAACTAGTGAAATTAGTTTGTTATAAGTGTCTGTAGTTACAAGAAAAATGAAGTGAGTATATATATTCTGTATTAGCAATATATTTCAATAAAGCTTCCTTGTCTTGTTGGCGTTGTTGTGTAGACGCCATTTGGGATAAATTAGATTTTTAATGGATGCAGGAAAATATTAGTGGAGTTTATGTGTAAATTCTAAGGGCGTATAGTTGAAGTCAATTTATTTATTGTTATTTGTATGTTTTTTCGCGTATTTTAAGTTTTAGACAAGATGCTTTGTTGGCTTTAAAACACCGGCGCCATTTTGTTTGTCTAATGAGATATCTTTGTGGAATTTTTATGGGGGCTCCTTATTTGGCAAAAACGATATTAAACAAGTCTTATAAAGTCTTAGACCGCTATAATTATGTACTCTGATTATTATTATGCTATAATCATATACGCTGAATTTTGTATGTCGAATGATTTTCCTTTTATGATATATTTCTCTACAAGTCTACTACAGTAACTAAAGTCTTCCTTTAATAAATAAAACGTTTCAGGTACATATAATATGTTTAGAAACTTGAATGTTTATTTACACGAATCTTGTATGTATATTTGACTCAGACCTTTCATGGGGACTTCAAATTTACTAGAAAGCTGTCTAAGCAAGTCTTGCAAACCTTGCATGAGTTTTTGGATGTTTATTTTGATAGAATCATTTACTCCGAATTTTGTTTGTCATCAGACTTATATTTTCTGGGAGACTATTTTAGTCTTTCATACTAAAGTTCACTAACGTACACAGTTTTACTACTTTTTAGTCTTTCGTTAACAAATGAAACGTAATATTTTAACAAAGTTAAAGTTTTAGTTAACAAATAAACGAAATATATTTGGCTTTACAAGTATTTGATATATTTTCTAATCACTTTACATTTGTAGCATTTTTAGGGAGGGGATTCAAATTTAGATACTAATTTATAGACGCTTTTTTTGATAGAATTATTTACTCTAAATCTTGTTTGTCATCAGATTTATATTCTTAAGAAGGCTACTACTGTCTTTCTTTAATAAATAAAACGTTTTCGATACATAAAATATGTTAAGACAGTCATGAATCTTGTATGATATTTGACTTTATATTTATTCGATATATTTCTTAATCACTTGGCATTTGTAGCATTTTAGGGAGGCTTTAAATTTACTGAAAAGCTAGGCTCTTGTGAAGCGTTGTACTAATTCGTAGATGTTTGTTTAGTAGAATTATACTTTCTAAATCTTGTAAGTCCCGAGTTTTTGGATTTTTATTTTGATAGAATCATTTACTTTGGATTTTGTATGTCAGACTTATATTTTTTGAAAGACTACTTTAGTCCTTCAGACTAAAGTGTACAGTTTCACTACTTTTCAGTCTTTCTTTAACAAATGAAACGTTTTAGAGATATCAAAAATGTTTAGACACTCATGAATCTTGTACATATATTTGGCTTTACAAGTATTTGATATATTTCCTAATCTCTTTACTTTTGTAGAATTTTTAGGGGGGCTTCTGATTTACTGAAAAGCTTGGCTCTTGTGAAGGCTTGTACTAATTCATAGATGTTTGTTTTGATAGAATTATTTACTCTGAATCTTGTATGTCATCAGACTTGAATTCTCTGAAAAACTACTACAGTAATTCTTTAGCAAATAAAACGTTGTTGGCACATAAAATGTGTTTAGAAGCTTTTGGCTTTACATTTATATTATATATTTCTCGAAAACTTTCCTTTTGTAGTATTTTTAAGGTGGCTTCAGATTTATTGGAAAGTTCGGCTCTTGTGAAGCTTTGTACTAATTCATAGATGTTTGTTTAGTAGAATTATTCTTTCTGAATCTTGTATGTCCTCAGGCTTGAATTTTCTGGAAGACTATTACAGTCTTTTTTAAATAAGTATATGATTTTAGTCACAAAATGTATTTAGAAACTAATTCTTGATATATTTACATTACTAGAATTTTTATTAGAGCTTCAGATTTACTGAAAGCTTTGCTGAACAAGTTTTTTAATGCGTTGTATGAGTTCTTTCATGTTTTGATAATGATTTACTCTGAATCTTCTATGTCATCAGAATTCTCTAAAAGACTTCTACAGTTTTTCTTCAATAAGTAAAACACATAAAAATATTTAGAAACTCATGGATCTTGTATGTATATTTGACATTGCATTTATTTGATATATATCTCAATCACTTTTTTTTGTATTAGTTCATTTGGTTGCTTAAGATTTACTGAGAAGCTCATCTGGGCAAGTCCTTTAAAGTGTTGTACGAATTCTTAGATATTATTTGTATGCCATTAGGCTTGAATACTCTGGAAGATTACTACAGTCTTTCTTTAACAAATAAAACGTTTTTGGCACATAAGATATGTTTAGAAACTCATGAATCTTGTATGTATAACTGGCTTCACTTGTCGATAACTTCACATTTGTAGAATTTTTAT